TTGTTGAACTGAATTCATCTCGAAGGGACCTTGTTTTTTTTTTTAGGGGTTTTTTTTCTTTTTAGGCAATTGGGGTTAAGTGACTTGCCCAGGGTCACACAGCTAGTAAGTGTCAAGTGTTTGGCCTGAGGCCGGATTTGAACTCAGGTACTCCTGACTTCAGGGCCGGTGCTCTATCCACTGCGCCACCTAGCTGCCCCTTCAAAGGGACCTTGTAACACAGAACCTAGAATGTTGGCGCTCAAATAGTTTTTAAGCAGTGATTTCTCCTCTCCCTCCCGCTGCTCCCCACCTGTGAGGCCACAGATGCCTGCAGCCTTGAGTTACATCAAGGGGTTTATCTCATTCAATTTGTCTTCATTACAGCAAATAAACCAACACATGTCTCAGAAACTGAATAAATAGGGTGGGGAACATCTGTGCATCCGTAGCATTATTTTTCAGATTTTGCAGATGATCTCACAATTAGTTAAATACAGTCACTTAAAAGCATTAATTCATAGCAATAGTGTTTGTCATACAAACATAACCACTTAAAGGAAAGAGGAAAATATAAGGAAATGACATTCTTTTCTATAGAGTTTTTTAAGGACCATATGTGTGTATGTATATATATAAATGTGTGTATAGTTCAAAAGTTTAACAGAGTAATAAAATTGCTTTGTCCCCTTCCATACCCCTTTTTCTATTTGTTTAAATAAGGAGGGTCTTTTTTCTTCCTATTATTACCCTTTAATCCATCCCCACCTCCCACCGACTCTGAAAGTAGGAGCTCTTTCTTGTAATAAATAGGGGTATTCAAGCACTGATTGCGGCTGAGCCATGTTTGAAAGTGAATGGGTGAATGAATGGGAAAGCATTGATTTAACACTTCCTCTATGCTAAGCACAGCCCAGATCCCAAGGATGCAAATAGAAAGGAGAAGCTGGCTCTGCTGACAAAGATCTACCATTTAGATCTTTCCACCTCTACCCCGCAGTCTTTTTTTTTAATTTGCCAAATCTTTAATTTTTAGATCTCTTTAGGAGTAAAGTGGATAAAATTTTAATAGTGGACAGTCTGAATTTAACATATATAAAGTGTGTGTGTGTGTGTGTGATGCTTCACAAACCTTATTAAAGTGCTACTATAAAAGTTAGTGTTAATAAGTTTTCTGATTCTGATGATACTTCCATTTTCAAATCTCTAAACAAAAACCCAATTCTTCCAAAATTTCTAAGGTTTTTTTTTGAGATGACAAGACTTTTTTTAAGGTTTAGGTACTTAATATCTTGTTATAACTGACATTGTGGTCATTTAAGATAAATTATAATTGTCCTATGTTATAAAAAGAATTTAAACTTATCTACTTCAAATTTTCCTATAACAGGTATATTCTGAGATAATTAAATGTCCATGAATATCATGTAGCAGTAAAAATCTTTAAAAATTTACTTCCAAGATGGTTGACCAATGGACAAAGTTTGTTTTTGTAAACTGTTTTCACAAAGTATTTGAGGAACGAAGCTTTTAAATTTTCTCATGACACTTACTACACATAGTTTTGTTATCCAATCCAAATTCAGAAAATGTAAGGAGTCACTTAGAAAATATAGGTTTTAAAATTATAATACAAACATGAAGTTATCCTGTACATGAGATAAGCATAAATAAACAACAGCAGAGGATTTTTTTTTATATTCACACTTTATTAGAAAGTGGAGAAACCATCCCACTTTAAGTCAGAGTCTTAAAAATGGCCCCAGATATTGCCAGGCATGTTCTAACTTTTGCTTTTGTGCAAACAAGGCCAATTCTAGAAGCCAGATCTTAACACTTTATGTGAGACAAGCTAAACTACTAAGTTGCTTGAATTTAGTTAAGTATTTATGGAATTTGCTGTAAACTCCATAAATATTCGCCATCCAGCAATAGCAAAGTCCAGTCTAGCTAAAAAGTAGTCTTTCACCAAATTGGAATTTCCAAAATTGGCATGTGTCAATTTGACACAGAGTTCAGAGTTTCACTAGCTACTCTAAAACCAGTATGTTAGTACTACTTCCTGCTGTATCTGGTAACTATCCATAGGGCCAAGGTAAAGGGCAGGGTAGCTGTTACTAAACTTAATTCCATCTTCACTCCTTTGACATGAGAGAGGCAGAAAAGGGTTAAAGATTTAGACAATAATCTCTTATTTAAAGTTGTTTTCATTACAGGAAAGAATGAGCTGCAAAAGAAATAGAATTATTTCATCTTTAATTGTACCCTTGTGAGTCGATCTGCCAGAGATTCAAGTGGACTGGCTAATATTAATAGTGTGAGACAAAATGGGCAAAGTCCTTACAACCCCTCCAAAGTATAGACTTTGTCTTAGAGAACAAATGAACTTCTGGATACATGATAAACTTTTAATCAACTGGTAATTTTGTCACTGGGCTAATAATCCACTGGACACTACTTCTACGTAGTTTACATGTAAAACATTTCTTTAAAAAAAAAAGAGGCTTGTAGCACTCATTGTTGCATATTCTCATCATCTGATCCATCATCTTCTTTCAAAGATTCCTTGGCATATTTCTCTGCTGCTTCTCTTATATCTTTCAGAACAATTTCATGCCTTCCTTTTGTTACTTCTCCAACCCAACTGAGCTCCAGTTCAAAAGCTTCATCCTTAACTTCATCATGTACTATGTAGATTATTTTTGCAACTTCTTTAACATTACAAGTTGTTGCTTTCATCTGGAGTTTCTCTATCTCTGTTTCTGCTGCTTGCCTGGCTTTACCATTGGCACATCCCCAGTAACCATATGAAACGCCCGATGGCTCAATCATATAAAGTTGTACTCTGTCATTTGCACCGTAAGACCCTAATATGAAACTGCAATGAAAAGGTCTGACAGCATTGTAGAGCATGTAAGCATGTGCATACAGGGCTCCTCTGTCTGGAAGGTGCTTTATTGGAATATTACAACCAGTTCGATCTGAAGTTGGAAGCTTCTTCTCTAGCTATGTCTGCTAAAGAATGAGCATCTGCTAACAGACCCGTTATCGCCATTCCAACGTGTCAATCGACATGAAAGAGATGCTTGGTAGAAATCTTCTTCATAAAGTTCAGAAAGGACTAATTTTTCTACACCAAAGATGACACCATCTTTACGTCTGATTCCAATAGCTACGCTACTGTTTTCCATTGCTTTCATGGCATATTCAGCTTCCATCAGGAGAGAAAGTTGAGACTGATGGATCACACCCAGGGAGTAGAGCTCATGGTACCTAAGCCACCACAGACATGTGGAGGCCCCACGGTCTTCCTTCTTTCCCTGGAGAGCCCCTTCTGACTGGAGAGCTTCTACTCTGAATCTATATCTGAGGAAGCCAGCACCCAGGCTAGCCAGCCTCATCTCTGACTCTCTAGACTTTTCCACCTTGTCCCTGTGGGTACCTTCCTCACCTCCCACTTTGCAGTTTACTTCTATGTGTGGTCTTCCTCCTGTGTGTTTATTTAGAAAATAATGTAATCACTACCATTTTAACTCTGTTATACAACAGATGAAACATACCAATGGTTTTTCAAAATTTTTTATCTTTTCTTTCCTTATGCTCCCATCACCCCCTTATTGTCATGCAATCCCCCCCAATTGCACCAGAGGCTTCTATGACCCCACCTAGATCATTCAAACATCCCCCATGGGGGCAGTATTGCCCACTTTCGGAACCTCTGCCAGCCCATTCCACACATTTTGCAACTGGGCAGATGGGGACCCAGAGGAAGGGGTCCATATTCATCCATCAGCTGGAAGGGGCTTAGAGATCCTCAGATGTATTCTATCTGCCCTCCTGTATTCCAGCTGGGGAAACTGAGGTGTGGAGGGGGAAGGGACCTGCCTGGAATTGGTGTAGAGCCTGAGAGAGTGCATAACACCTCACTTCTCACTGCCTCAGTTTCCTCAAAAGAAAATGGGGATCATAATAGCACCTGTTGTACAGATCAAATGAGAGAATAATGATGAAGTGCATAGCCCAGTGCCTGGCATATAGCAGGCACTTAATAAATGCTCCCTTCCCTAAGAATCTTCAGGTCTGCTTTGTCCTGCCTCACCTCCCCCAATCTCTTTTTAGGCATCTGGGGAAGGCACCTGCCCACTCCCCTTGGGATAGCTCTCCCCGTTGGACAGCACTGGTCTTTCTGCAGTCTCCCTTCATTGTGCCTGGATCTGCCCGTTAGGAAGCATCGATGAAGCACCTGCTATGTGCCAGGCACTGTGCTAAGCACTGGGGATACAAAGAGAGGCAAGAACGGTTCCTGCCTTCAAGGAGCTTACAGTCCAGCGAATATGGAGGCATGCCAAGGACGCCTGAGTTGGGCCTGGGTTTGAGGGCCAGCCGAAGGACTTTCCAGTGCAGGCTGCCACTGACCCCGCAACTTGCCAGAGCCCTGCGAGGGTCAGCGAGCTGGCCGCCGCGGGCTGGGGTCAAGCAGGGCAGGGGCTGGCCTTGAACTCAGCTCTCCATCAGGTGCGTCACGACCACAGATGACAGACTTGGGGCTGGAAGGGGACTTGGCCCTTGAGCCAATCCCCCCACTTTTCAGATGGGGAAACTGAGGCCCAGGAAGGACACGTGGTTAGTGGGGTTCAAACTTCCTGTTGTCTCCTCTCCACCCCCCCCCCGCCATGACACTTATTTCTCCCGCCATTCTTCCTTTTTCCACTCCTGGCCTCAGTTTCCTTTGTTCAATACGGCTTGCCCCTCGGTTTCCCCAGGGTGAAACTGGGGGGCTGGACCGGCCGCCCTGAGCGCCCTCGCACACCTCCCCGAGGATGCCGCCCTAAACACCTCCTTGCCTGGCAAAGACTACATTTCCCAGAAGAACGCGGGGCAGCAGCACTTCCGGGATGGCGGCGGCAGTGGGTCGCTAGTCGCGTTGCTATGGAGTGCTCCCGGGGCGGGGCCTGGAGGGGGAGCGCGTGCTGATTGGCCAGCTGCTCCCGGCCGCGAGTTTCTTCTCGCAGCGGCGCAGAAGAGGCCTGCCGAACTCCCGCGGGAGGGGCTCGGAGCCCTGTGGTCAGTTACCGCCGCGGGCCGGCGGCCGGGAGGTGCGGAGTGCGCAGGAATGGGGCTGGCTCCTCTTTCCGCGCTGCCCCGGGCCGGCTGAGACCCGCAGGACGCGCCCCCGCGTGCCCCAACACCCCGGGAGGCTCATTCCCTAGCGGACAGCTCACTTAACCCCGCGGGAGAGTTCGAGGACACGAATTCAAGACCTGCCTTTTACCCGCTCCTGCACCGTGGGCGGTTCCTCTCCCTCTCCGCCTCAGCTTACCCTGCTGTAAAATGAGAGAGTTGGAGTGGCCGCTTCAGTTCAGCTCGCACTAAGCGCTTACACCCGCCAGACACTGGGAGGTGAAGACGGCCGTGAAGCCATTCTCTCGGGCAGTAGTAACACTCGCATCGGACAGTTACCTGGAAAAGTTCAGTCATTTCTAGGGTGGAGAGCATTAACTGCGGGGGGGAGCAGCGCGGGCTGCTTGGGTCCTCTGCAGGACAAGGGGCTGCCAGAGAAAGCTAGGGAGTCCGAGGTGGTGGTGAGGAAGGAATGCGTCCCAGCACGGAGCACAGCCTGGGCAAAGACCTGGGGGCAGGATATGGATTGTCACACAGGGTATGGCCTGGAGCCAGATGGTGTGTCCTGCCCAGGAGGCGGGTCTTAGGAGGAAAGACCACGTGCCCATTTTTGGACAAGGGGGTGGGTAAAGCTGGAGGGGTGGGCCTAACACTGGGAGGGATATCCTCCTGCCTGGGGCCTCCCCCAAAGCCTCCCTCTGGCCAAGTGCTCCCCCCAGCCTCTGCATGAAGACCCGGGTTAGGGCAGGGAAGGCCCGGCAGCGTCAGCTACTGCATGAGTGTGGGGCTCTCTGTTTGACAAGTTCTTGACTTTCCCTTACCTCCCATGTAAGATGCCGGGTCAGACAAGAGCCTCCTTCTGGAGAGGTGGGAGCCCGTAGGGTGGTGCTGAGGCCCCTGGGCTGCAGGAGACGTTCCTGGGGTGGAGGAGGTGCCCCAGCCCTGAGGCCCCAGGCTCCCCTTTGTGATTGGCTCAGCTGGGTTTTCTAGGGTTCCAGGTCAGGTCACAGTCCTGAGCCCTTCTCCTAACCGGCCCTCCTTCCGTTTCTCTCCCAGGTTTTCCGAGGGAAGCTGCTGCAGGAAGAAAAGACTTTGAGCCCCCTGTCCGGTTCTGGGAGCGATGTCCACTGGGTGGGTTTCCTTCTGGGGAGACCCCAGGAGGCTCTGAGCCTCTGCTTGGGACCAGCCATTCGTGTGATAGACAGAGCCCAGAGCTGCCAGAGCTAAAGCAGCTACTGACCATCCTACTTGTAGGGATTGTGGGGGCCCATCGTCCAGCAGACCCTGGAGGAGGGAGGTGAGAACTGGCGAGCCGGGTGGGCAATAGAGGGTGAGGGTGAGGGGCTGAAGGCAGGACTTGAACTCAGGTCTTCTGCACTCAGCTGGAGGCCCTGGCCGCCAAGGTTGGGAGTGCCATGCAGCAGCAAGGGCCTCAGTTCACTCTTCCCTCCTCTGGGTGAAAGACTTGGACCCTATCTGCTCCCTTCCAGGCAGCTGGGCCCACCTGGATCCTTGGTCCAGCCCTCCCTTCCCAGCAGCTCACAGCACCTTTGTCTTCTGTCCCCAGGGACCCTCTCGACAGCCAGTGCCTGGGTGAGCTTCCATCAACCAGCCAGCCTTACATAAGGCCCAGTCCTTTGTCCTGAATATACAAATGAAACAGGGCGTGCCTCCAAAGAACCTCCACTTTACTGGGGTAACATACAGGCGGGGTCAATAAATGCAAGGTCACTTGGAGGGCACCAGCCACCCTGGGATCCAGGAGGGCTGCCTGTAGGAGGGAGCAGCAGAGCTTAGAAGGAAGCTGAGAATTCTGGGTCATGGAGAAGAGCAGGAGGAGGAGACAGTGTCTTAGGGGCCAGGGAGGGGAGAATGGCATGGCCAAGGAGCCCCCCTGAGGATGGACTGTCTGGAGGGCTACAGAGCCACTGGGAGTGACCTGGAAAGGCCGGCCCTTAAGAAAAGGCCACTTTGTAATGGGAGGGCCTGGGGGCAGGGGGTGGTCAGACAGGACCTGCCCAGGGTGATGGAGCCTCAGCTAGCCTGGTGGAGAGGAGAGGATGGAGGGAGAGCCTGAGACTTGGTGACGTCGTGGATGTGGGCAGAGAGGGCAAGGGAGGCATTGGGCAGGGCTCTGAGGGATGTGAAGGTGCAGGGGCCCTCGGTGGAAACGGGTCAGTCTGGGGGAGAGATGACGAGTCTGAAATGTCAGTGAGATGTGCTTTGGAAATGCCCACTTGGCACCAGAGGCCAGACAGAGTCTGGAGCCTTCGAGGCCTCGGTGGAGAGCTGATTCAGCCTGTGGGGACTGACTGAGGAGGTCAGAGAGAGAGAGAGGAAGGCCCAGGAACAACCCTGGCCTACATCCAGCAGGGGTCTGAGCCCCGAAAGGAGGCCGCAGAGGTACGGCAACAGAGGACTGCAGAGCCAGGAGAGGCCTCGGCATCCTGCCGCAGCCTGCCAGAGCAAGCCTCTGCTGGAAGAACTCCAGACTTGGCAAGCACGCTCTGTGGGGAGCAGGCTTGTTCTCATTCACAGCACCTGCTTCTCCTTACAGACAAGCCCGGATCTGACTCGTGACAACTTCTGGCCTCTGCCCTCTGTTGCAAAACAGAATTAGGCTCATCCCCCTTCCCCCTGATGGCCCTTCAGGTGTGAGAAGGTAGCTGAAATCACCCTCGTGAGGCTTCTCTGCTCCATCCCAAACATTGCAAGTTGGCTTTGTTCTTAAATGAGCAGAGACCCCTTTTCTCACCCTCCTATCTCCATACTCCCATTGGGAGGACGGGAGAGAAGGGAGGAAGGAAAAAAGGAAGGAGAAGGAATGAACCTTGGAGCAAATGTGCATAGTCAAGTAAAACCAGCTCCCACATTGGCTGAGTCCGCAAAATGTGTGTCTCACTCTGAGCCTCTCTCATAAGGATGCTGGATAGCTCTTCATCCTAGCCCAGGGGTGGGGGTCCTATGGCCTCAAGGCCACATATGGCCCTCTAGGTCCTCAAGTACAGCCCTTTGACTGAATCCTTAGTCACTGAGAAAATGGTGGAGTGGCTGAGCCAAGTGCAGATCCCTAGAGCACTCCACTGGAGACATCTTTCCTACAACATTGACAAGGAATCATTCACTAGTTCTTTGAATTTAGTCATTCAGCCAGTTTGGGACCCATTTAATTATACTCTTACCTCTCTCAAATTTTCCATAAGAATGGCATAAGAGACTAACAAATTTATAGGTGACATACTCAGCAAATTTGCATCTAGTACAGACCTGAAAAGTGATGGAAAGGAGGAAAAGAAATAACATCTATTAAGTGCTTACTACATGCCAGGTGGGGCAGCTAGATGGCACAGTGGATAACGTGCTAAGCCTGGAGTCAGGAAGACCAGAGTTCAAATCTGACCTCAGATATTTACTAGCTGTATGACCCTGAGCAAGTCACTTTACCCTGTTTGCCTCAGTTTCTTCATCTGTAAGATGAGCTGGAGAAGGAAACAACTCTGGGAGGCAGTACTATTATTATCCCCATTTTAAAGATAAGAAAACTGAGGCAAACAGATGAAGTGACTTGCCCTGGGTCACAAAATTAGTATGTGTCTGAGGCCAGGTCCATTTGAGCCATGAGTCCAGCCACCTACCCAGTTCTGACTCCAGTGAATTGCATTAATATCCAGTCAAAATCTCTCTATCCTCTCTCTGCGGAACACAAGAGACTATCAAATGCTTTGCTAAAATCTAGGAAAACGATATCCCGCCGCATTCCTCTACTCTACTAGTTTAGTAATCCTGTTTAAAAAAAATGAAAAGGATATGGGGGTAAGGTGACATGGCCTGTGCTTGATAAAGCCAGGTTGGCTCTTTAGAATCGTTGCTGCCCTTTCTAGAGGTTCACCAACCATCCCTTTAGTGATCTATGCTAGAATGTTTCCAGAAATCAAAGTCAAGTTCATTGGCCTATAACTAGCAGGCCTTATTTTCTAGAAAATCAGGACATTTGCCTGTCCCCAGTCTTCCATCCCCTTCCTCCATCTTCCACAGTCTTTCTAACATTAGCAGTGATCCCAAGAGATCTTGAAGGCTCAAGCACCGGGCTGAATCTGTGACTCTGTGCTAGGGATCAATGGCAGATCTTCCACTTGGGTTCAAAAAATCGCCTTCCTGAGCATAATCTGGTGGATCCCAGTTAGCCAGCAGTGGTTCTGGAAGATCCCCGGGGTCTTTGAGTTAACCACAAACTCGACGTGAATCAGCACTTTGGGATGTAGCGACGACACAACCGAGCACGTCCTGGACAGTCACAGCCAACAGAAGTAGGGAGGATCGCCCTCGGCCGTCACACCTCCAGGAGGAGCGTGGCATTCAGCATTGGGCTCCAAGGAAAGCAGCCGTGAGAGGGGAGGGCCTTCCATCCGTGACACAGGGAGCTGGAGAAGGCCTAGTGGGAACAGGACAGCTGTCTCTTGTAGAGACTTATAGACTGGTTTTGCTGGTCCCAGAGGGCAGGACCCAGAGCACGAGGGGAGGCTGCGGACGGGCCTGATGGTGAGGCCTGGCCAGCTGCTTGCAGAGCCATGGCCTCATCTTCCCAGAAGGTCTTCAGGCAGAGGTTGGACGGTCACTTGTTGGGAATGACCATGGAGGCCTGTCTGTGACAATCCAGCTGGGCCCCAGCAGGCAGAGCCAGGAGCCTTAAGGGAGACTTTGGTGCAAGATAAGGAGACCTTAGGAGTCAGCCCTGTATGGCGGGAAGACGATGCTGGAGAGCAGAGATGTCCACTGAGGTCATCGACTCTAAGCCCCTCATTATACAGATAAACTGAGGCTGAGACAAGGGAGGAGCCTTGCCCAGGGTCCCATGGCTGCTAAGGGTCTGCAGCAGAATTTGAACTTGGCTCTCTCTGCCTGTAGGCCCAGCACTCTCCCCTTCCCACCCACCTGCCTTGTTTGGGTACAAGTGGGATGACCTGGCCCTTGAGGGCCCTTCCATCTGTGGGAGTCAGAGGCCACCTGAGGCCTTTTGTTTTCATGGGAGGGGTGAGATCTTTAAGAGTTAGAGGGGAGGTGCTTAGAATTCCCAGCCTGAAGACCCCAGTCCCCAAAGGGCTGTGGGGCCGGCCCTCAGGGAGGGGAGCTCCCCTGGCAGGAGCCTTTGTCCGGCCAGTCTCTGGAAGCGCTCAGCCAAAGTCAGTCTATGTGCAGGGCACCGAGCTGAGTGCTGGGGGGACAGGGAGGGCCAATACGTGGTGCCTCCTGCCAAGGGGCTCAGGTGGGAGACAAGCTGTAACTAATGGTGCACACAGAGTAAACTGGAGGGGACCCCAGAGCAGCGGGTGCTGGCGATAGGGAGTGGGAAGAGCCTCTGGCGGAAGAGGAGATTTTAGGGGCCCGAAGGAAGCCAGGAGGTGGAGGCAAGAAGTAAGGGCGTGCCAGGCACGAGGAACAGCCTGAGAAAATGCCCAGAGTCAGGAGATGGAGCGTCTTGTGTGAGGAGCAGCCAGCAGTCCAGGGTCACTGAATCAAACAGTGTATGATGCAATAAGACTAGAAAGGTAGGAGGGGGCTGGTTAGGGAGGGCTTGAAAGCCCGACAGGATGTTGGATTTGACCCTGGAGGTGATAGGCAGCTCTGGGGCGGGGGGAGGCCTGCTCTTTAGGAGAATCTCTTTGGGGCTGAATAGGGGATGGACAGGCGTGGAGAAAGGCTGGGGGCAGGCAGGTGGTCCAGGGGTGAGGGGATGAGGGCCTGCACCAGGCTGGGGCAGGGTCAGAGGAGAGAAGGTGATGAGACAGTGAAGACGACAGGCCTCAGCACCATAGCAGATCTGGGGGGTGAGACAGGGAAGAGTCCAGGATGACTCCTAGGTGGGAACCCAAGGGGCTTAGAGAATGGGGGTGCCCTTGAGATTAAGAGGGGAGGGAGGAGGGTGAGGGCTTTGGTGGAGGGGGAGATGATGAGTTCAGTTTTGGACATATTAAGAGTGGAATTTAAGTTTACCAAGGCTTCCAGCCCAGGATGTCTGGTGGGCAGTAGGAGATGTGAGACTGGAGATTAGCAGGGAGGTTAGGGCTATGTGAGCAGATTTGAGAATCAGCAGCACAGAGGTGATCGTTGAAGGAAGCTTCATCGTCACCCAGAAGTAGCAGCGAGGAAGAAGAGAAGGCGGCTCAGGCCAGAGCCCTGGGGACACTGGTGGTTAGTGGGGACTCAGCTGAAGAGGAATGGTCAGGCAGGCAGGACGAGAACCAGGTGCCCCAAAAACCTCGAGAAGAGAAGATGCAACAGAGTCAGGTGCTGCAGAAACCTCAAGAAGGCCCAGGACTGAGTAAAGGTCAGCAGTCAAGAGACCGTTGGTAAGCTTGGAGGGAGCAGCTGGGGTGATGGTGATGGGAGGGGCAGTCTGCAGGAGAAGGCAAGATGGGATGGGAGCAGGGGGTTCTGGAGGAAATAGTGGGGAAAGCTGTGTGACAGGAGATGAGAGGGAGTGCTTGGTGTGTGGCCTCAGTTTCTCAGAGAAGCATTCTCTGAGGTACATTCGCGGTCATTGGGAAGGTGGCTGTGAGGGGTTCTCGGGTTCTTTCCACCCTGATTTGCTGAGCCGGTGACTTAGGACTGTCGGTAGCATCCTGTCCTGACTGGAGCGTGAGTTTTGGTGTGCACTACCCCAGGCCAGGGGCAGCCTTACCTCCCAGTCTTTAGCTCAGCAGACCCATACCTCTCATTGCAGTCAGCAGTAACCTTCCAAGACGTGACCATTGACCTCTCCCCGGACCAGTGGAAGGGTCTTGGCCCCACTCAGAGGCAGCTCTACAGGGACGTGATGTTGGAGAACTACAGAAACCTCGTCTCCCTGGGTAAAGCCACCCTCTCCTCAGGCAGAGGCAGCCTTTGGGACTTCTCTGCAGCCTGGCCACGTTTGGGGCCCGGGCCCTCGGCTCCTGCCCAGAGACAGGAGAGCAAATGGCAGAGTGGCAGCTAGGTGCCTCAGTGTGTGGGACTCTGGACTAGCTGGGTGACTCTAGGCAAACACCTTTCCCCCGCTGTGCCTCAGTTTCCTCATCTGCACAATGAATATAATAATAGTACCTGCCTCCCAGGGCTGTCAGGACAAATTGAGATCTCCTGCATAAAGCCCTTTGCAACCTTTGAGCCCTCCATGGGACCGTCTCTATCCCTATCAATGTTAGGGGAGGGCCCTGAGCCTGTCCTCAGGGGCCTGGCTTCAGATCTCAGTGCTGCTGCGTGTTACTGCCCGCGGTCACTTCTTTGCGAGCCGAGGTTCCTCCTCCAAGGCCCTAGGGACACTCTTCTCGGCCTTCCTTCTCTCTCATTCTCTCATAGATCTTGGAATCTATTCCCTCATCTTACAGAGGAGGAGACTGAGGCTGCCAGGTGCAGGGCCATGCGCTGGGTCACTCAGCTCTTTGCTCAGGATCTCCCTTGACCCTCCCAACTTCTCTGTGAAGTTGTCAGTACAAACGTTTACCCTGTCTTCTCAATGAGGCTGCTCAGGCTGAAGGCAGAGGGAGGGCTTCGTGAGGCTCAGCTGACCCCCCCCCAAGGGGGTTCCCTTTGGACTGCAGGGCCAGGTCCCTACTCTCCAGGCCCCAATCACTAGCCCCCACCCCAGCCGTGTGGGGGCCTCTGCCCCGCTTGCCCCACACTGAACCCCAACCAGGCATTCCTAGGCCTATGCTGGGGGAGCTGTCCAAAGCATGGTGTGCCGTCTTTCCTCAGGGCCAGAGTCCCCTGGATCCAGACCACAGATCATCTCCTGGCTTGAGCAAGGGGAAGGAAGAGAGTTTCCAGGGAGCATTCCTTCTGGTGAGTGTGAGGGAGATCGGGGGGGTGCTACCTGAGGCCAGGTTTGGATGTGTTTGGGGGTATCCTCAGAGCCCATTGGGTTGGGGGGTGAGGGTCCCTGTCCGAAAAAGGCAGAGCCACGAGGGAGCTTAGCGGCCACAGCCCCTCTTCTTAGAAGCTCTGTACCACTGGAGGAGTACTGCACCTGGAGGGTTGTGGAATTCCACAGCTCTAACTAGCTGTTACCCTGGATAAGTCACTGTACTTCTACCTCAGTTTACTCATCTGTAAAATGGAGATAAGATTAGCGCCTGCCTCACAAGAGTTGTTGTGAAGATCAGATGATGAGAAAACATGTAAAGTACTTTGCAAACCTTAAAGGTCTACATGAGTGCCCATTACTGTTGCTACAGCAGAGGAAGCTGAGGCCCAGAGAATGGGCAAATGACTTGTTCAAAGCATGAAGAGGTAGTTGGTTAGTGGTGAGGTCTAGATCAGAGCCCAGGCCTTCTGAACCCTGGCTCTGGACTCTCTGTTAGCCTTGTACTGCCTTCCTCCCCGTCCAGAGCTAGATGTCCCAATTAGATCAGGCTATGACTAAAACATCTCCATTCCCACCCTTGTGAGGCACAGGCTGGCCCAAGGCCCTTGGACAGGTAGAAGGCAGGCTTTGCTGACCTCGTGTAATCCCTCCACGACTGGCTACTTGCTGCGGCCCAGGCCAGCTGGGAGCAGAGCTCCTCTGGCTCTTCTCTAACACGGCAGTTCGTCTGAATGCCTTCTCCATTTCCTTGCTCTCATTTCCCCAAGCCCAGCAGCTTGCACCTTCTCTCGCTTTGTGAGGCTGGAGAGACTGGGCGCTTTTCAGCTTGACCGCCTGCCTCCCTTCTGGAGGGTGGGACCTGCCAGTGACAGCAGGGGGTGGACTGGGTTGCAGGCAAAGGGATCATTCCTTGTGCCTGTTCATATCATGACAGGCAGCCTTGGTGAGAAGGGCCTGGGGTAGACACAGAAGACTGCACTTCTGTTCCTGGTACCTTGGACTGGCAGTTTGGCCTTTTGAAGCTTCAGTTTTTCCCATCTGCAAAATGGAAATAATGATACTTGACTGCCTCCCTCACAGGGTTGCAGCGAGGAAAGGGCTTTGTAAATTGGAAGTGGGTATAGAAATGTTTATTATTGTTACTAGAATAGAAATCACTCTTCCCAATCCTACAGTCCCATTGGATCCTCACAACAGCCCTGGGCAAATCTTTGTGACCTTGGGCAAATCACTCCCTACTCCCCTTCCCCAACCTCTAGTCCTGTGAAGGGAGGCAGGGCAGGTGCTGTGTAAGCCTTCAAGTGAAAAGCATCACTGGCTTTTGAACCCAGGTCTTAGGACTGCAATTCTTGTATTCTTCATTCTCATTGTCCGACATCTTAATTCTTTTTCCATAAGGAAAACAGGTAAGCAGGATGATGAAGGGACCCGAGACTCAGCCTTCCAAGAATAGTTTGAAGGAACTGGGGAGGGTCATTTTAACACGGAGAAGAGAGGATGCAATCACTCACTCACCCCCTGCCTCTGAGTATCTGGGGAAGAGAGGTTTGAGTTTTCTGGTTGACTCCTGAAGGCAGAACCGGGGGCAGTGGAGGCCAGCTGACTACATTCCCATATAGGCTCCTAACAAGGAGAGGAGAAGCCTCAGAGCAGGATGAGGCTGCTTCACGAAGGTCAGGGCTCCCTAAGGTCCCTGGGAGGCAGGCATTTAACAGATACGCAGGGCCAGAGACTTGAAGTGAATGTCCCAAGGTCACACAGCCAGGAAATGCCAGAGATGCTGCAGAGAAACCTATAGGCCTGCTCTCTTAAGGGGAATGAGTGAATGAATGAGATGTTTTAATGAGTACTTGTCAAGATTGTTGTATATGGGGTGCCAGCTTGACATAGATCAAGAGTCCTTTCCCCCCCCCCAACTTAATAGTATTTTATTTCTTTCAATTACATGGAAAGATAGTTTTCAACATTCACTTTTATGAGATTTTGAGTTCCAAATTTTTTTTCTCCTCCCTCTCCTCCCCCCTCCCCAAGATGGCATGCAATCTGATATAGGTTATATATGTACAATCCTATTACACACATTTCCACATCAGTCATGTTGTAAAGGAATAATCAGAACAAAAGGGAAAAGCCACAAGAAAGAAAGAAAAAGGAGAGAAAATAGCATGCTTTGATCTGCGTTCAGACTCCATGGTTCTTTCTCTGGACGTGGATAGCATTTTCTATCATGAGACTTTTGGACTTGTCTTAGATCCCTTCATTGCTGAGAAGAGCTAAGTCTGTCAAAGTTAGTCATCCCACAATGTGGCTGTTACTGTGTATAATGTTCTGGTTCTGCTCACTTCACTCAGCATCAGTTCATGTAAGTCTTCAGGAGTCCTTTTTTAAAAAATAATTTTATTTTTGTAAATTTTATTTTTAGGTTTGAATTCTCCACTCTTCCCTTCTCCATCCCTCCACCCCTCCCCGAGTTGAGAAAGTAAGAAAAATAAAACCCATTACAAATTCCCTTACTGACCATGTCCAAAACAATTCCTCAGTCTGCACTCTGGAGGTAAATAGCATATTTTGTTGTGAGTCCTTTGCAATTGTGGTAAATCATTGTATTGATCACAGTTCCCAAGTCTTCCAAAGTTGTTTATCTTTACAGAATTGCTATCATTACATAAATTGTTTCCCTGGTTCTGCTTCCTTCACGTTGTATTGGTTCTTCTCTGAAACCATCCCTTTCATCATTTCTTATAGATTTCTGTTACCTTCAGATACCATGGCTTGTTCAGCCATTCCCCAGCTGATGGGCATTCCCCCTGTTTACAATGCTTTACCACCACAAAAAGAGCTGCTATGAATATTTTTGTACATAAGGATGCTTTTCCCCTTTCTTTGATCTCTTTGAGGTATAGAACCATTAGGGATATCACTGTGTCAAAAGGTATGTGCTATAGCCAGGAGAACATTGCACACAGTGACAGCAACACTGTGCAATGATTAACTATGATAGACTTCGCTCTTCCCAGCATTACAATGATCCAAGACAATTCCAAAAGACTCATGATGGAAAATGCCATCCACATGCAGAGAATGAACTGATGCAGACCAAATCATACAATTTTCATTTTCTTTGTTTTTCTCATGGTTTTTTTCTTTTTGCTCTGTTTCTTCTTTCACAACACGACTCATGTGAAAATGTTTTATGTGATCGCACACGTGTAATTGATACCAAATGGCTTGCTGTCTTGGGGAAGGGAAAGGTGAAGAAAGGAGAGAGAAAAATTTGAAAGTCAAAATCTTAGAAAAAATGATGTTGAAAATTGTCTACATGTAATTGGAAAAAATAAAGTACTATTTACATTTTTTAAAAAAGAAAGAACCACTTACCTTAAAATTTGAAAAAAAAAAAAGGTATGCATAGTTCCAAATTACAAATTTTATGTAATGATAATTATTGATTTTCCTTCCTGTGGAGCTCTCTGTCTCCTCTTTGGTTATGACCTCTTCTGCTCTCCATAGAGCTGACAGATAATTTCTTCCATATTCCTCTAATTTGTTTATGATGTCACTCTTTATGTCTAAATCATGTACCCATTTGGAATTTGTCTTGGTGTATGGTATGAGATGTTGGTCTGTCCCTAGTTTCTGCCATTTCCTCAAATATCTGGGATCTTTGGTTTTATCAAATAATAGATTACTGTGGTCAATTACTTCCATATATTGTGGAGCTAATCTGTTCCACAGATTGACCACAGATTTGTAGCATGTCAGAGGTTCTTAACACAGGATTCATTTTTTAATACTTGAACAATATTAATATTAAACAGCATTAACAGTATAAACAATGTTAAAACAAAAAGCTTTTTAAAATATTTTGATAATTGTGTTTCAATATAATTAATTTTCTTTGTAATCCATGTATTTTTATGCATTTAAAAACATAACTCAGGAAAGGGGTCTGTGGGCTTTACCAGACTGGGCCACAGGGTCCAGGACACAAAAAAGGCTAAGAACCCCTGGCCCAGATCGTCTCTGAGGTCCCTTCCAACGGTAGGATTCTGTGAACATTGAGCCTTTTCCAGAGCAGCCAGATGGGACAGTGGTTAGAAGGCTAGGCCTGGAATCAGGAAACCCTGAGTTCAAATCCAGCCTCAGACCCTTAGCAGCTGTGTGACCCTGGGCAAGTCACTTCTACTCCACAGGGCTGTTGTGTAGCTCAACCAAGCTAACACTTATGAAGGGCTCCGCACTGTGCCTAGCACATAGTAAGTGCTATACAAATGCCAGCTAGCCAGCAGCAGCAGCATTATCACTGTCACGGTTATTGTTATGATTTCTTTCAGATTCCAAGACTCAGACTGAGGCCAGGTGGGGCATTTCTACAGAAGGAGAAGTGTGGAAGATGGGATCGGAGGGGACCACCGGGGATGCTGACCAGGAACCTAAGTGGGGAGCAGCCTCTGGACATGGAAGCAAGTCCCTTAACCCTGCCCAGAGCCCGTATTCTTTCCCAGGATGTGATTTCAGCCCATTGACCCGCCTCCACGAGCAGGCTCAGCCGGGTGAGACGGGCCGGGCGTGTAACAGGCTGAAGACATGCATCCATCTGAGGTTAAACCAAGTAACAGGTGGGCAAGGTCCCGCCGGAGAGAGACCCTTTGAGTGTCGCAGCTGTGGGAAAAGGTTTAAGCGGATTTCCTGCCTGAGTCGACATCAGAAGAGCCACGCTGAAGTGAAGCCCCACCTGTGTAAGGAGTGTGGGAAGGACTTCAGTCAGCGGTCTTACCTCAACGAGCACCAGAGGATTCACACTAGCGAGAAGCCCTACGTGTGCAATGAGTGTGGCAAGGTGTTCAGGCAGCGATCCACCCTGATCCGCCACTGGAGGACCCATACCGGCGAGAAGCCCTACGGATGTCACCAGTGTGGGAAGGCTTTTATTCAGCAGACCAAGCTCACTGAACACCAGAGAATCCACACGGGAGAGAAACCCTTTGATTGTAAGGACTGCGGTAAACCCTTCGCCAGGAGATCCCACCTAACGCATCACTGGCGGCGTTGTACCGAGAAGAAACTCCGAGGAGGCGCATTGGGTGCATCTGAGGAGAGCTCCGGCCCTGACGACCCGGAGAGACTTCTCCCCAAGGAGAGCTCTCATCCGTGTAACGCGTGCGGGAAATCTTTCAGGCGGCGCTCTTCCCTCATGCAGCACTGGAGGAGTCACACTGGCGAGAAGCCCTATGAATGTAACCTGTGCGGCAAGGCCTACGGCCGGTATTCAGCCCTGAGTGATCACAAGAGAGTTCACACTGGAGAGAAGCCTCATCTGTGCCTCCAGTGTGGGAAAGCCTTCAGCCACAGCTCGGTCCTCACTCAGCACCAGCGAATCCATACTGGGGAGAAGCCTTATGAGTGCAGTGAATGTGGGAAGGCTTTCAATCGCAATTCTAATTTTTTTCTGCACCAGAGAATTCACACTGGAGAAGAACCCTGTGCGTGCAACGAATGTGGCAGGGCCTACAGCCGGAGCTACAATTTTTTTCTACACCAGAGAATTCACACCGGAGAAAAGCCTTATGAGTGCGGTAAATGTGGGAAAGCCTTTAGTTGGAGGTCCAAGTTTTTTCTACATCAGAGAACTCATACCAGAGAAGACCCTCTGGATGTCGGTGAGCGCCTCTGGGCTACAGACACAGTAAGGGGTCCTCAGTATGGGATGGAATTGTAGGACGTCAGTGAGGAGGGCTGGGACCGAAGGCCATTCTGCCCCTGGAAGAATGGTTAGAACTGCCCAAGAGTGTGGGAGACGTCCTGCCTTAGGTTGGCAGCTAACTGCCCTGTAGGGAAGGGCTGGGGGAGTTCCCCAGTCTGGCTGATGAAGAAATGCTGGGTGTCAAGAATAAAAATGACCGTTTGCAAACGCAGTAAGGTGGTAGTGGGTGTGGCGCCCTCTCCTGGCTGCTCTGCAGGGTGAGGCGTGTTCCTGCCCTCAGGGAGCTTGCAGTCCACCAGGGATAGGGATGAAGGGTGAAACTAGGTGGGCCTTCACGCCAAGGGCTGGAGGAGGGGGCTGGGTGGATCAGCTCCTGCTGCTGCTGGCCTCCCCAGGCGACCAGAGTCAGCGTGGTCACATTGGGGGTGACGTGCTGGCCGCAGCCAGCTTCAGAGTCACGGCCCCAGAGCAATGGCTTGGGCTCAGAACTCCGACTCGGCCCTCAGAGAGTTCCCCTCTGCTGGAAAATATCACTTGGGAGAATGTGCTGGCGGTCAAAGCTGCCCTTCTGGGTTGCAGAGGGCTTTGCAGATAGAATGTCCTTGGAGTCTCAGAACAACTCTGCTACTGGGCTGACTTGGAAATAGGCCTTGCCTGATTTCTGATGTGTCATTGACATAATATCCTTTGCCTTCCCAATGGGAGGGAGAGGGAGAAAATTGGGAACCCCAAACTTTTAAAAATTCATGTTAATTTTTTTTTTTAAATCCTGCAAGATGTATGTTCTGAGGAAACCGAGGCCAGGCTGCCAGCTGGGCAGCATGGTCCACAGAACACTGGACTTGCGGTCAGGAAGACTGCCGCTGTCCAACATTTACCAGCTCCAGCCCCGGGGGCAAGGCACTCTCTGTGCCTCAGTTTTCTCATAAAAAGGACATGATCTCTCCCAAGACGGTGGTTGTGGGAATTAAATGAGATAACATGGAAAGCCCTTTCAAACCTTAAAGCGCATTTAGGGTAAATGCCGGCGGTTAACCCAGAACCCAGAGCTGGAAGTGACCTGCCTCAGAGGCGTAACATTCAAACAGTACCTCAGCTAGAACCCCCTTTCCCTGACAAGGGGCCCTCCTGCCTTCTCTGGAGGACCCCCACCCCCAACCTCCAGTGACAGGGAATCCATCCCACTTGGGGGTAACTCAGAAACATTAGGAGGGTAGGAGGCAGGAGAGGGAGGGAGGAGAGGGAAGAGGAAAGGCAAGAGAGGCCCTCTGCAGTAACAATCTTTATAAATTGGAAGCAGACATAGAGAGAAGGAGCTCTATGACTATAGTTAGTGGTGGACTCCTCTGCCCGGGAAGGGCAGAACTGGTTTTTAACAGCTCTCCATCAGTCCCTGAGGTCCAGTCCACAGGATGAGCTCAATGCTTTAAGGATCAATGATCCTAGCCCCTTGGTGCTTTGGTAGATGGTATTTGTGAATGGCTGTGCCAACCTGCTGGTGACAAGCCTGTCTCTACAGAGAAAGCTGGTGCCCGCAAGACAGACTCAGACATTGCCAGGCCCAGTTTCAGAACCCGCTTGGTTGGACCTGCCTATGTTTGTGCTCTGCTGGCATAACCACTGAGAGCCCATGATCTCCTCCATGCCATAAGGAGACACTGAAGTAGTACATGTCCAGGACATTGGAATCTCTTTCCTAGAGAAAGCCCAGCTAGCCACGCATAGTAAGTTCAACTAAGGTGTCAACTACTATCTTTCCTTAATACTTTATCACATTATCATCTTCCTCTTGTCTTTTTTTGAATCTGTGCCTCAATCTCCTTGTTTTCTCAGCTTTCATTTCCACTTCTCTAAAACACAGGCATTGAAGTAGATACCCAGAGATAAGCAGAGGGCTAACTCACAACTCCTGGTTACTGAAAGTTCATTCTTGAATCCATAGGCAGTAACCTTCTCTGGTTCAAGGGTTCACACTTTCTGAAGCTGTCTCCTCCCATGGGTGACTGTCCTTCTGTAGCCATCTGTGTCCTTGTCCTCAGTGTATGCCTTACAACCATGGTACTCTGAGCCCTCTCTTCCCATAGGCCAATGTGTACTTTGAGAGGGTGCCCCAGACTTTTTTTTATTAACCAATTATTCTTACTATATCACCTTTGTGAATGCCCTTTGCTGAAAGCTAATTGATGTCTACTGGCTGATTGAAATGGGAAGCACACCAGTAGGGGCTCATGAACAAGGCGGAAAGCCTCAGCAATCCTCAGGGTTACCCCTAGAATATGGGGGCAGGGAGGATAAGAAGTAGTCAGCAGCCTGGACTTTGCCACCAAGCCTCAGCTGCCTCCTCCCTCCATTTTGAAGAAGGCCTCAGAACAGCCATCCTTCATTCTCCAGACTTCATCCCCATCCCTTCATGTAGGTGCTTCCTCTCCCCTCCACCTTCAACTTCCTCTTATGTGTGCCATTTCCTGATTAGAATGTAAACTCCTTCCAGGTAGGGACTATTTCTCTTCGTTTCTGTCTGTGTCCCCAGGGTTAACCCGGCAAATAGTGATTAATAAATGCTCTTTGATTTGACTGAGACTGGGGGATGGTGTGAAGTGGAAAGGCATATATTCAGAAATTAACATGACGTAAAAATAAAAGGTATCTTTAGACATTAAACAAACCAAATAAATTCAAAAATTAAACTTTTGAAAACCAAATCAGTCAATCAAATACTAATTGTTTATTGTTGTCAGACACTGTGCTAGGTGCTGGGGATACAAAGAAAAAGCAAAAACAATTCCTGCCCTCAGGGATCTTCCATTCTAATGGGGGAAACCACATATGGAATTCAGAACATGCAAGATAAATACGGAGAAGATGGATGTAAATAAAGCAAGGTGTGGGTCCAGATGACTTCTAAGGTTCCCTTCTTCTCTACTATCTTATGGTCTACATTCTACAGACCTGAGAGCGTGAGCATCAGGATACTCCCTTACTCTATAAACGCCAGTGGCTCCCGATTGCCCCTTTGTTTGGTTCAACTATTTATTTGTTCATGTGTTTGCTTATTTTTAGTTCTCAACATTCACTTTTATAACTTTCCCCTCCCTCCCCAGAACGGCATGCAATCTAATATAGGCTACATGCATCCTTTGTTTGGTTTTTAAAGCCCCTCACAGCTTGTTCCCAACTCACTGTTCCAGTCTCCTTGTGCATCTGTGATCTAGACAAACTAGGCCTTAGTAGGCAAGGAGTGCCCTAAGCTATACTGAGGCTTGACTTCCTTCTCACTAAATGCCACTGCCACAGTGAACACATTGTTCATTTGTTTCAATCATGTACAACTCTTTGTGACCCCATTTGGGGTTTTCTTGGCAAAGCCAGTGGAATGGTTCACCATTTCCTTCTCTAGTTCATTCTGCGGATGAGATAACTGAGGCAAACAGGGTGAAGTGACTTGTTCAGAGTCACACAGCTATAAGTTGTCTAAGGCCAGATTTGAACTGGGGAAGATGAGTGTTCCTGACTCCAGGTCTGAACTCTATCCAAAATGCCACCTAGCTGCCTCAATGAACACATAGAGTAAATAGTAAACAAACTCTTATTCAGGCCAATGGCAAATAAATCAGAAAATAATTCAGATGGGAATAAACCAGAAAACACACAGAGTGAAGAAACTTCCCCACTGGAGGGAGATTGTCTTAGTTCAGTCAAGAGACAGGATCCCAGATCTCACCAAGGGGCCTTCCCTGAAGTCTCCCGCACTCTCAGCTGGGGAGTGGAACCAGCAGAGAAGGATCTGGCTTTGCTCCCTGACTCTGCCCCTCCTGCAGGCATGGAGCATTGAATGACGCAGCTCCTTCTGAGGAGAGCCCCATACAGATGGGTCAGCCTTCTACCAATACTGACTACTAATACCGAGTGGCTTGTCACCCTAACTCCCAATGCCCTCGTGTTTATTCAGTAGACATTTGTATGTGGACATATTGAGGGCAGGGACTTTCTCACTTTTGTCTGTATAGCACAGTGCCTTGCACACAGTAGGCGCTATATACATGCCAAATCTGGTGCTTTGTAGGTTGAAACAAGCTTTTCAGAGGTTATCTCATTTGATCCTTTCAATAGCCCTGGGGCTGATCTAAGAGGTTAAGGGATTTGTCCATGGTCACTGTGCATGGTGCAAAGCCTTGAGAATAAAAATACAGGTAGAAAGAAAGACATTCCCTGCCCTTGTGGAGCTTACATTCTAATGGGGAAGACAACATATCAAAGCTGAAAAGGTGGAGGGAGACACAATGGTACCTGGTGTTGGGGAGCATGGTAGAAGCCTGGAGGGCAGCCTGGACAGGAGTGAAGCATCACTGGCCTGGGCACCCTCCTTGGAGGTTCTGGGAGAAGTCATCCAGTCAGAGAGAGGAGAGGCGCAGCATGGAGCAAAATCCCCCCTCCCACCCCCATTGGTGGGATTTGAACCTGGGTCTTCTGGATGCCAATCGCACTATTCCATGCTGCCTATTAAGGTCCCTTCAGCTCTTACATACTGTATTCTAAGATCTCTCCAGCCCCACCTTCCATGTTGTATGTTCTAAGTTCTGATATCTGGTGCTTCTCTGGTCCTGTGTGAAGGTACCACCACTGATACCGCCCATAAAGACCTCTTCGAGTGGTGAAGTGACTCAGAATTCCTGAAGTCTACACCAGCAGGGTTCATCCTTGCCACATCTCCCTTAGTTTGGGGGAGGCTTAGTACCAGAGGGCTGGCCATGAGATGATGGATGCTTTCAACTCCAGCAACTCATAAAGAATTGGCTGCTAAGGCAAAGAGGAGCTGGCATGTGAGGTAGGAAGAGTGGATATAATAGGGCAGAGAATCTCTTCTTTACATCGTGATTAATGTGAAAATATTAAATATGAATGTATAGCGGGCAGCTAGATGGCTCAGTGGATAAAGCTCCAGCCTTGGAGTCAGGAGGACCTGAGCTCAAATCCGGCCTCAGACACTTGACACTTACTAGCTGTGTGACCCTGGGGAAGTCACTTAACCCCAATTGCCTCACCCCCCCCCAAAAAAAGAATGTATAAGTAGAGCCTATATTGGAGTGCACGCAGTCTTTTGGCGGGGGGGGAAGTAGAGGGAAGGGGAGAAAATTAAAAACTCAAAATCTTAGGGAAGTGAATGTTGAAAACTAGAAATAAACTATTTTTTAAAAAGCTACTGAAGACCTGTGCAAAGATACTAGAAGGGTATATCAATATCTGATCATCAGGTACAACAGAAAATTTGAGCACTACTTTTGACTGACTAAAGACAATTAAAAAGAAACATAAGGAACAGAATGGGGGGTGAGGGAAGGTGTCTCATAAATTCTTTATATCTTTAATTAAAATCAAAATGTTAAGGTGATGAAAGGAACAAAAGTAGTGGAAAGAATAAAATGATTAAACATCAGTCAAAAACTATAGAGCAGAAATTCTTTTTTTTTTGTTGGCTTTTGGTTTTGGGGGTTTTTTTGGTACAGACCCATGGTTGAGGCTACTTTTTTTTAAAAAAATTATTTTTTTCTCTTATTAATTTTTATTTCTTTTTAGTTTTCAACATTCACTTCCACAAGATTTTGAGTTCCATATTTTCTCCCCATCTCATCCCTCCCCCAAACCCAAGACAGCACGCATTCTGAATACCCCTTCCCCTAATCTGCCTTCCCTTCTATCTCCCCCCCACCCTTCTTTTATCCCCTTCCCCTTCTATTTTCCTGTAGGGCAGGATACATTTCTATACCCCATTGCCTGTAGATCTTATTTCCTAGTTGTATGTGAAAACAATTTTTAACATTTGTTTTTCAAAATTTGGGTTCCAAATTTTCTCCCTTCCTCCGTCCCCACCCACCCTCATTGTGAAGGTAAGCAACTCAAAACAGGTTATACATGTGTAGTCATGCAAAACACTTCCATAATAATCATGTTGTGAAAAACAAACTATATTTCCCTTCATCCTATCCTGCCCCCACTCACATTTATTCTATTCTCTTCTCGCCTTGTCCCTCCTTAGAAGTGTTTGCTTCTGATTACCCCTTCCCCCAATCTGCCCTCCCCTCTATCATCCCCCTGCTCTCTTGTCCCCTTCCCCCCTTTTTCCTGTAGGGTAAGATAGATTTCCATACCCAACTGAGTGTGTATGTTATTCCCTCCTTAAACCAAATCTGATGAGAATAAGATTCCCTCATTCCCTCTCACCTTCCCCCATTTCCCCTCCAATGTAAAAAGCCCTTTCTTGTCTGTTTTATGTGAGATAATTTACCCCATTCTATCTCTCCCTTTCTCCTTCTCCCAGTATAATCCTCTCTCACCCCTTAATTTTATTCTCCAGATATCACTCCTTCATCTTCAACTCACCCTGTGCCCTCTATCTATACATATAGTCTATCCATCCATATAATTTTTCCCCTCCAACTACCCTAATACTGAGAAAGGTCTCATGAGTTACAAATATCACCTTTCCATATAGGAATGTAAACAGTTCAACCTTAAGAAGTCCCTTATGATTTCTTTTTCCTATTTATCTCTTCATGCTTCTCTGGAGTCTTGTATTTGAAAGTCAAATTTTCTATTCAGCTCTGGTCTTTTCATCAGAATGCTTGAAAGTCCTCTATTTCACTGAATTACCATTTTTTCCCCCCATAAAGATTATACTCAGTTTTGCTGGGTAGGTGATTCTTGGTTGTAATCCTATCTCCTTTGCCCTCTGGAATATTATATTCAAGCCCTCCAGTCCCTTAATGTAGAAGCTGCTAAATCTTGTGTTATCCTGATTGTTTCCACAATACTCGACTTGTTTCTTTCTGGCTCCTTGCAATATTTCCTCCTTGACCTGGGAACTCTGGAATTTGGCTACACTGTTCCTAGGAGTTTTCCTTTGGAGATCTCTTTCAGGAGGTGATTGGTGGATTCTTTCCATTTCTATTTTGCCCTCTGGTTCTAGAACATCAGGGCAGTTTTCCTTGATAATATCTTGAAAGATGATGTCTAGGCTCTTTTTTTGATCATGGCTTTCAGATAGTCCAATAATTTTTAAATTCTCTCTCTTGGATCTATTTTCCAGGTCAGTTGTTTTTCCAATGAGATATTTCACATCATCTTCTATTTTTTTTTTCATTTTTTTCCATTTTGTTTTGCAATGTCTTGATTTCTCAAAGGGTCATTCCCAGAGCTAGGCCTTGCTGGGCATCCACACCACGTAGGGCACTGTGGGGCAGAGTCCCACCTGGGCCCTGGCTTCCCAGATCAGATGCCTCCGTGTTGCAGGTTCCCGGAGCGGGCAGTCCTCAGTTTCTTCCTCTATAGAATGGGACTGATGCTCCTCACCCGGCGGACTGCCCAGGGCTATCGGGCAAGGCCCGGAGCTGCAGGATTTCGGGGCCAGGAGGGAGCTGAGCCCCGGGACAGCGAAGCCTTCGTTGTGGCTGGAGCCCAATCGGGTGCTGCTTCCACAGTTAAAAGGGAGGGGGGTCTCTGAGCCTCGGCTTTCTCAGCTCTGTAATGGGGAGAAGCGCGCAGCTCCCGAGGGCTACTGGGAGGGGCTGCAGCGGACCCAGGCTCGAGTCACCGAGGGAGCCAAGAAGGGCCCGGCTCCCCAAAGCCACCCGCAGAGGCCGGGAGCAGGGAGCAATGCAGGGGAGCTGTGGGCTAGCCTCAGTCTCCTCCTCCGTAAAATGGGTATGAGTATCGGCACCTGCTGCCCAGCGTCCAACGGGACAGGGTGTGTGATACACGCTTAGCGCAGGATCGGGCACGTGTCAGGTGCCTGCTCCCTTCAGGAACGGGACAGGGATGGGCTGGTGACGTTGGGGGTAGCTGTGCAGCTTTGGGCACGCCCCTCGGCCTCTCTGTGCCTCAGTTTCCCCTCTGCCAAAGAGGTGGGGGCTGGGCTTCGCGAATCCCCAAAGAGCCTCCAGCTCGGAGAGCAGCAGCTGAGCCCACGAGGGCGGGGAGGGGCGGAGCCAAAAGAGAAGGGCTCGTGGCCACGCCCCCTCGACGGCGCCCTGGATCTTCCTCTCTCAAAGGTCGAGACCCGGTGGAGGGGAGGGCGCATGCGCATTGGCCTGGGGCCTCCGGGGAAGGAGGGGTGCACAGGCCGAGCGTGGAGGAGGGAAGGAAGGGTCGGCGAAAAAACGCACAAGCGTGGGGCTGGGGGCGTCGAAAAAGGGAAGGTGTAGGATTGTAGAGGGGAAAGGTCGGGGGGAAGGAGAAGGCGCAGAAGCTATGGGAGCCAGAGCGGAGCGGAAAGGCGCGTGCGCGTAGGGGAAGGGGGCAATCCGAAGGAGAATGCGCGTGCGTGTTGGTGGGGGGGGTGTATGTGGAATGTTGCAGGGAGAATAGCGCGCGCTCAGTGCTGGGACGTCCCTGAGCGTCCCGCTCCCGCAGTCCGTTTCCCCATGGACGCCCTGCCCGTTTTCGCCCCTGCCTGTGTTCCTTCTCCCCTTAAAGGGCTAGGCGCCTCCATAGGCGCGCGGCCCCGAATTAGAATGAGGCGCCTCCGCACGCAGCCCCCTCCCCTCGCCCTTTTCCGAAGCTAGTGTCCGCAGGTAATGGCGCCCTAACCGCCTCAGAGGCCAGGCCCGCCCCCCGCCGCCCCTCGCCCCTCGCCGCCCCTCGCCCCTCCCCGCTGCGCCGGCCATCAGGGCGAAGGCGGGGCCTCTCGCGGCCCTGCCCCTCCCCCGCCCGTGCTTAGAGATCGGGTCCGAGTCCGCCGCCGCCCCCTCCTCCTGTGCCTGGCCCGGATTGCAGGCGGGGGTCGTCCCCCTCCCCTCCTCCCGGGGGTTCTGGCAGCGCGGGAGAGGGGGACGGCCTCGGTCAGACAGTCAGTCAATACATCCGAGGGAAGGCGCACGCCGGCCCTGCCCTCAGGGAGCTGCCAGTCTGGGAACCTGGCGGGGGGCGCCGAAGAGCCTTGAATGTCCAAGCCAGCGCTCTGCCTCGGGTCCCGAAAGCGGTGGGGAGCCGCTGCATGGGTCTTCACCGGAGTGGGGGCAGGGGCAGAGGACAGGAGGGGTGCGCTGGGGAGCCGGTGCAGAGGAAACCCGCAGCCCCGGCCCTTGGTGGGGGCCCCCACGTGGGAGCCTGGGGGAGGGGCCCGGGCCTGAAGGCACAGGGCTCCCTCCTGGGTTCAGTCTGGCCCCAGACACTCGCCGGCTGTGTGACCTGGGCGAGGCATTTCACCCACTTTGCCTCAGTTTTCCTCATCCGTAAAATGAGCTGGAGAAGGACGCGGCAAACTCCTCCAGTGTCTCTGTCCAGAAAACCGCAAGTGGGGTCAGAGAGTCAGACAGGACTGAGAGGAGGGGGAGGGGGAGTTGCTGGGGCAGCGCCCTCTAGGTCCTCAAGTGCCGCCCTTTGACTGAATCCAGACTTCACAGCGCAGCCACGTGCGGCCCAGAGGCCTCAGGTTCCCCCAGCTGGGGAGAAGACAGTGTGTCCAGTTTGAGATGTCTGCTGGACGTCCGGTGTATTGTCCGAAAGGCGATTGGAGAGTCGAGATTGGCTGGGGCCTAGGGATGGGGTGTAGGTCCGTGGGAGCTGTGGAGGTCCCCGGGTGACGTCGGGCCCAGGGAGGAGAGAAGAGGCCGTGATGGAGCCCTGAGGGACGCTGCGGTGGGAGGGAGGACCCAGCGAAGGAGACCGAGGAGGAGCAGCTGGGGGGAGGAGGAGACCCAGGAGAGACCGGGGTGCCAAAAAACCTAGAGACGAGAGCTGTCCAGGAGGAGAGAGGAAAGGCCGCTGGATGTGGCCGCCAGGAGATCGTTATTATGTCCCGGGGGGCCAGCTCGGGTTGGCGCAGAGGGAGCTGGGCAGCCCTGGCAAGTGGCTTTCTGCTGTTTGGCCGCAAAACAGAGGCAAGGCGTGGTACAAGAGCTAAGGAATCGTGGGTGTTTGACTGACCAGGAAGCCCTGGTCCCCGCCTGACCCAGTGGAGTGGGAGAGGGCATCTTCAGTAGCCAACAGCCCTGGAGGCTCTAGGGTTTGGGCCTGTGGGGCTAGCATTGCCTGGCAGTGCAGTCACATCTGCATCCTGACCCATAATCCAAACCACCTGGGGCTAAGAGCCATGCCCAGACCTCTAGTTTTCTGGACCTGGGGCGCCTCCCCAGGCTCCCTTCCTCTTCCTTCTCCTCTTCTACCAGGGATTACTACTGTGGAATTTGGACAGACAGAGCCGGAACCATCCAGCGAGCTGAGCGTCTGGCAAAGCTAGAGGGAATCAGGCCCCTCTGAGTGGGAAGAGCAGCTGGTGAGTAAGGCCTTGGAAGCTGAGGAGGCAGGCCCTGTGCTCTGTGTGTGAGGGCTGGCTGGCTTCTCCCTGGGTCCCTACCTTTTGTGCTCAGAGGTTGCCTCCTGCAACCCTTGCTGGAAGGGGGAATGTCCTCTACTGTGTCATCCCCAGTGACGGGGAGCTCACACCGTAGGACCCAGCAGGGGGTCACAGCCTGTTCCCTAGACTTGAGACAGCTGACTTCAAGTGGATTTTTCAGCCACAATGGCAAATCAAGACCATCCCCTGAGACACAAGGGGCTTTTGTCTGCACTGAGAAAGGGAGAAACAATCATGATGAGAGCATATGGTCCCCTGTGGGCCACTAGAACGCCCCCCTCCATTACTCCTTGCCCGCCATGGATGTCCCTGAGCTCACTGGGAGAAGCAGTAGACTTGTCCTCCTGGACCCCAGAAGTGAGAGCTGGGAGGGGAGGCTGTGAGAGTGGGATGAAAAGACATGGAGCCTCTAGTCCTCTGTGACCTTGGACAAGACAATGGAAGTCTCTGAGCCTCACTGGCCTCCTCTGTGAAATGGAAACAGTGATATGTTGCTAAAGAGAAGAGGGTGATCCACTGAATCATTACCTTGAAGGGATTCCAGAGCCACGGTTGCTGGGGGACAGGGAAGACCTGTGCCTAGATGGGGGGAGTCAGGACTGGGTGGGAGCCAGGGATCAGGCCCTAAAAGGAGCCAGCCAAGGAACTGGGCCTTAGTGGCCTGGAGGAGTGAGGGACCCTAGGCTGCTCTTTTCAGGATTGCTAGTGGAGCTGTCTGACAGGAGGATAGGCCATGGAGAGGACCACTCTTTCAGCTAGGGCATTTGTGGGCAGAGGACCTAGGTTCAAATCTAACATGTCACTCCTGGTGTGTTGAGTCTCTTCACTGTCAAACAAGAAGGTTGGATCAGGTGGCCTCAGGTTCCTGCCGGGTCTAGATCCAGGACCCAGTAATCTTTTTAAAAAATTATTTATGGGAGGCAGTCGGGGTTAAGTGACTTGGCCAGGGTCACACAGCTAGTAAGTGTCAGGCCGGATTTGAACTCATGTCTTCCTGACTCCAGGGCTGGTGCTCTATCTGCTGTACCACCTAGCTGCCCCAGACCTAGTGACCTTATCACGAGGGAGCTCTATGACATGGCCCTTTCTGTGATCCAGAGGGGCTTTGTCTCTGGTCGGTGGCTCTTGGCAGCTGCCAGGCAGGGCTCCCAGGCCTCCAGCATCCTCCCTTCTCTGGGCCTCAGTTGTCCTTCCTCCAGAATGAATAGTTTGGGCTTGATGAGGCCAGTGTTCTTTCGTGGGGCTGACCCTTCCAGTCTGAGGCCTTCCCAGTCCCTTGAGGCCCACGTGTGTGTGAGACTCTGTTCTTGGACCCCTGCAGGTTCTGGATAGGAGAGACATTTAGAAAGGACGAGGATGGCTGAGAATAAGCTTGTTCCCGAGTGGAAACATATGAAAAAAATTATCAGCAATGTCTTGAATAAACGCATGGTAAGAGATTGTTGCTAGGTCCGTGTGCAACCTTTCATCTAGCACTTATTCAGCACCTACTGCATTCCGAGGCCTGGGCCCCCATCCCCACCCCCGGGGAGCCATAAGGATGCGTAGGAATTCTCATTCATTATGGAGGAGAAGGGATTCACTGTAGGGCCTAGGCTCGCAGGACTGTCCTCAGATGCTGGAAGGGAACAGGATGGTTCTGTCTGAGTCTGAAGGCCAGACAAGGGACCAGCAGGGGACACGAGGAATCGTGGCTTCTAATCCCACCTCCGACCCCAGGCCTCAGTTTCCCAAAATGAGGAGGATCCCCAGGGTTCCTTCTGGCTCCAAATCCAGAATCCTGTGGGTGTGTTTTCTTTTTTTCTGGGGTGGTGAGGTGGCAGATTATGGCTGGATATAAGGAGGTATATTCCAGTAGTCAAAACTATCCCCAAGTGGAGTGGACTGCTGCTGGAGGTAGCGAGCTTCCCAGCTGCAGATGTCAGGATGACCCCTTGGAGGGAGTGTGGACCTGGGGATTCCTGACAGGTTGCGCCAGATGGCCGCTGGGGGCAGCCCTTCCAGTTCTGAGCACCTGGGCTGTCCAGAGGACTCCGAAGCCCTGGATGGGAGATTAGACCAGACTCTTGTTCGGTTCAGCACACAGAAAGACCCTCTGCCTGCCAGGCCCTGGACCTCTGGTGCTGGAGGTGCAGAGACAAAGGATGAGACTATGCATTGGGACAAAAAGTGAAAACCCAGCCCTGCCCTCAGGGAGTGTGCACCCACTTGGGAGAAGTAACAAAGCAGGCCACCTAGACCCGCAGTGTGCTCTCTCCATGGTGTGGGGAAAGCAAGCTGAGGAATTTGGGGGGAGCAAAGGAAGCTGGTGCCAGGAACTGGAAGGGGGTCAGGCCAGGCCTCACTGGGTTCTGGGGTCCCACAACACCATAATAGCATCTGGCCAGTACTTGGGTGTGACCTCCTTGTCCCCAGACCGCCAGGGGATTGTCCCAGGGGACGTGGGAGAAGGAAACTGAGGCTGAGTGACTTGTCCAAAGTCACACAGGAAAAACAGCAGAACTGAGATCTCTGACTCCAAACCTGGCAGCATTCCCACTGGGCCCCAGAACTCCCCTTCCATTTTATAGAGGAAGAAACAGGCCCGAGAGCAGAAGGAACTCCATTCTTTCAAAGTCCTGACCCCCAGCTTCCAGGAATGGCCGGATTGCTTTCTCCTTGGTGTCCCTGAAAACCACCCCCGTGGTGGAGGCCCCCAAGCCGGGCCCCTCCTGGTCCTCGAGGGCTGGGACCAAATTCCTGGCTGGACTCCCACAGAGAAGGTGCAGGCCCTCTGCTCTCACTGTGTCTGTGGAAGCTCTGGGGCCTGTTTCGTTTCAGCCACCCTCCCAGTCCCTCAGGCTCCTCCCTCTCTCCCACCGCCAGATCCAGGGTGGTGCCAAGGCCTGCAATTTCCTCTCGGCCACGCCCCCTTCTCTGCTCTGACCCACCCCCACCCGGGCGCAGGCCTTCATCCCCTAGCCCCTGGACTACCATAGTAGCTGCTGGGGGCTCTGCCTGCCTCACGGCTCTCCCCACTCCACTCCATCCTCTATTCAGCCACCGCAGTGACCTTTCTAAAGCACAGATCCACCCTGGCCATCCCCTCCTCAGTGACCTTCACTGGCTCCCCATCACTTCCAGGAGCAAATACAGAATAATCTGCTCCATGTTCCAAGGCCTTCGGAAGATGCCCCTTCCTACCATCCTGGGCTTGTGACACTGGGCTGCCCTCTAGGCACTCTGCAGTCCAGAGACACGGGCCTTCTTGTTCATGGGTGCACGTAATGCTCCATCACCCAACTCCACCCCTTTGCCTTTGCTGTTCCCCAGGCCAGGAACACCCTCCTTCACCTCGGCCTCTTGGAGTCCCAGGCTTGAATGCCGCCTCCTGAGGCCTGTCTGGTGACTTTGTCACTTTATACATTTGTCATTCATATACACATCTAGATGATGTATGTTTATCTGGAAATGGTGCACATTTTCCATCACCAGGTGCCGGGTGCTCTGACAGGTGCTGGAGGTTCCAGGACAAAAGAAACAGGTCCTGCTCCTCCCAGAACTTCCATTTTCTTGGGGGTAAAACAGCGCAGACACAGCCACAGCAGAGGGTGTCCAGCCAGGAAGGCAGTTCCACCCCTGCAAGGCCCAGGCTTACCCGGGGGAGGGAGTGGCGCGCTGAGCTCAGGGTTGGCCGGGCAGGGGCCGGGTTTGGGGCCACAACACAGCTGCTGTTCTTAAGGAAACCAAGGAGATCACAATCCGGTTCATCCTGGAAGTGGGGGAAGAGGGCACCGAGGATGTTGAGAAGAGTGGGGAAGTCCCTTCTCTCGGGCCCTCAGTTACCCCCTCCATCTGGCCAAACTGCACGTGCTTAATTAAAATCGTCTGTGATGAGGCAGGATCCAGGCTGGGTCGGCGCTGCTGACGGCCTTGAGTGCTGAGCCAGTAAGTCTGGGCTTTGTCTTGCAGGCCACAGACAGCCATGAAAGCTTTTTGAGCAGGGGAGGGATGAGCAAGAGGGAGATGGCTCGGGCAGTATGGATTGGAGGAAGGGAGCACGGATGGAGGCAGTCCCAAGAGTCCAGACGAGGGTGTGCGCTATGGTCATGGAAGGAAGGGGATAGATGTGAGAGATGCTGGCGAGGATGATGCATTTGGAGTCAGAGGACGTGGGTTCAAATCCTGGCTTTGCCCCTTGCTACCTATCGTGTGGGCAAGTTACTTCTCTGTGGACCTCAGTTTCCCCATCTGTAAAAACAAGGTGACTGGACTAGGGGACGAGGCCCTCTACCTTTCAGTCCCACAATCCTTGGAGATGCTGCTGATGTGAAAGAGTCATACCTCGGAAGCGGGTTGGCATAAGGGAAGGCTGAGGAGAGCCTGGAGCACAAAGGGAAATGGATGGAACCGGCTGCCTGCCCTCAGGGAGCTTCCAGTCTTGTGAGAGGAGAGCCATGATGATAGAAGTGGAAATGTGGAGCAGCCCCAGGAGCCAGGCCACAGGGAGCTGGGGGGGGGGAGGGAAGGCTTTCTGGAGGAGCCCCTGGAGTTAGGAGGGTGGGGAGGAGGAGACAGGGACAGTTGGCTCACCCAGCACCTCTTCTCCAGCAAAAACAGTCACAGCCAGATGCAGTGATTTCCCTGAGCGACCACCCTGAGATTGTGTTCTCTGAGACCTACCACCCCCAGGAAATGCCCGCCATCTGCCACTATTTCACTGATGCCCACTACTACGCCTCCTTGGGCTGGGTAAAGGGGAAGGAGATAAAGGTGAGTGTACCCAGCTTCTGGCCCATGCTGTGGGGGAGCGAGTGGGGAAATTCCAAGCCAGCCGTGGGGACTGGGCATGTTTAAGCAGGAGAAGAGAAGGGAGGCCCGCAGAGCTGTTAGCCTTGGTCAGTGTAGCCCAGAAAGGCAGCACTAGCAGTCACAAGGAGGATAAACTTGTCAGCGATAAGGAGAATGGGGGAGGCTGCCGTGGGAGGCGGCAGGGACCCCCCCTTGGAGGTCTCTCTATCCCACTCCAGCCAGGTTCCTTCACCCCTACCCAGCTAGGCGGCGCAGTGGATAGAGCACCGGCCCTGAAGTTAGGAGGATCTGAGTTCAAATCCAGCCTCAGACCAAACACTTGACACTAGCTGTGTGACCCCGGGGCAAGTCACTTAATGCCAATTGCCTAAAAAAACAAAAAACAAAAATTATTTCCCCCCCAGTTACATGTAAAACCAATTGGCATAACCTACTCTTGATTCGAATCCATAAGTATTTATTAGGTGCCTACTGACAAAATGTCTACTACAGGCATTGTGCTACCAAAGTTCTGGGGATGCAGGTACAGAGAATGAAATGAGCCCTACTCACAAGTAGCTAATAGGAAGGCAAGAAGGACACATCCCACAGCGGTGAAAGGCTACATGACTGAGGAAGCAAAGGTTTGAGCTTCCAAGCATTACAGTGATTGATTAAGCGGAGCATGCCACTTGCCCAACAAATTGGGACCGGGCCCCTTCCTCAGCTTAGGGCTGGACCCCGAATCCAGAGGGAGACAGATTTTTATACATTAAAAACAATCAAATAAGACAAATTAATTAAAAAGAAACAATATAATAGGTAATCTAATTTCTAATTGGATGGAAAGTCAGGGACTTTCTGATTAGGAAGGGGAGCGTGAACAGGTGCAACTCCTTGAAATCAGAAAAGGAGGGGTCCCATTCCTCAAAGTGTCTGTAAACAAACAAAGGAACATGGAAACAATGACTGATTGATTAGTATGGGGCCTGCTTTCAGATAAGATATATAGGCTGCTTGAAATGTAAAATTTTGAGAAGACTCTTGCATAGAACTTAGGATATGACTGTGTAACCTAAGTCCTTAGTTAAGGGTCTCTAACCAGCAGGTAGGGTTGGAATAGTTTCCCAGTCATGCCTGGCTAGGTTCAAACATGATGGTTTTCTCCCAATTCCCACAATTAAATAAAGTTTTCTCACAAGTCAGAAACTGGAATAGACCCATAATTGAACAGAAAAGAACTTACCTGGCTCCAGAATCACATCACAAGATGGAGTCAGTGTGGTTTACTCAGTCCCCACAATTAACCATTTGCTGTCAAATCCCCCGAATTCCCTCAAGACAACATAAAGTGAATAAATACATACATGTCTTTCTGTATATGTTTGCACACACGTCCGCACACATACAAAGTAAATTCCAAGTAGTTTGGGAGAGGGGTCAGTGAAATCTGTTGAGGGCTCAGCAAAGGCTTCATGCAGAAGATGTTGCCCGAGCTGCATTTTTAAGGAAGAGACACAGGGATGTAGGGAGTACGTTCCGGGCGTGGGGGATGGTCAGTGCAGAGGTCCAGGGGTAGGAGCTGGAGTATCACGAGTGACGAGCAGAGGGAAGCTCAGATTGGATGCTTCTTAGAATGCAAGAGAGCGGATGAAGGTCCAGGGAGGCTCCAGAAGTGGCTTAGGACCAGGTCACGCAGGGCTTTAAAAGTGAACCAGAGGAGCTCGTGTTTTGTCCCAGAGTCAGTAAGAAGACACCGGAATTGGTTGAGTAAGGGAGTCATGTGATCAAATTGTGTGTGTGAGGAAAATTACTTTGAATGAATGAATGGGAAAACATTAATTAAGTGACTACTCTATGCTAGCTGCTGGGGATAGAGATGTAAGAGTGACATCATCCTGCTCTCCAGAGGTGCACGTTCCGTTAGTTTGGTCCCTTTCTTCCCTAGTGTTTGCCTTTTTCCCTCCCTTTTCTTTCTTCACCTAAGATCATCCAAGTAGAAGGAAACCACCCCCAGGCCCTCTTTTTGGCTGATCTAACTCCCTCTGTGAGCCTTGATGACATTAAGATTCTGAAGGGACACTTGTTTCCTTTCCCCCATTAGACTATAAACATATCTTCATTGGATAATCCCTTCTAATTGCTTTCATGTACTTATCTTTTTAGATTTTCTTGACATTTCAAAGATTCTGTTGATTTCTAATATTTTCCTTAGGAATGCTTGGAAGTCCTTTATTGTATTAAAATCACATTTTCACCTATAAGATTATACTTAGTTTTGCAGGTTAATTATTATTGGTTGTAATTTTTTATCTTTTGCCTTTTAGAAACCCATATTCCAAGCTTGCCTTTTCCTTCCTGTGGTTGTTCCCAAGTCTTATGTGATCCTGACTGTGGCTCCTTGGCACTTGTATTCTTTCTTTCTGACTGCTGGCAGTATTGTTTTCTTAAACCTGGAAGCTCTGGATTTTGACCATAATGTTCTGGGCGGTTTTCATTTTAGGCCTTCTTTCTGGAGATAACTGGTTGATTCTTTTTATTTTACTCTGCCCTCTGATTCTATAGGTCTGGACAATTTTAATTTGCCATTTCTTGGAATATGGTATCCAAGCCTTTTCTTCTTCTTCTTAGAAAGTCCAGTGATTCTCAGATTATCTCTCCTTAACCTGTTTTCTAGGTTAATTGTTTTTTCTAGGGGTTACCTCACATTTCCTTCTTTTTTTTTTTCTTTCAGGATTTAGGTTTTGTGGATTTGGAAAAGTAACTGGAATCATGGAGCAACCTTCAAAATTGAGCAGTTAAAATTTTGGACATATATTGCCTTGGATAAATTTGTAGCCATTGTTTATCATATAGTTGATCTGTATTCTGGACCGGAATTACCAGGGTAATATTTTGTGTGACAGAGCATGCCATACCTTGTATGACAGAGTCATACCTTGTAAGATTGAAAGCGCTGACTACTTTAGATTCTGGAATGCATTCAGTATAGAGCAATAACAACAACAAATGTAGCTAATCTTTACATAGGGCTTTCAAGTTTGCAAAGTGCTCTGCATGTAATATTTCCTTTGATCTCCACAACAACCCAGGGATATAGGTGCTATAGTTATAGCTAAGGTTGAGAGGTTAACTAACTTGCCCACACACAGACCTTCTTAACTCCCAGTCCAGCACTCTGTCAGCACCAGCTGCCTGCCAAAGAATTGTCATTTACCTAGAATGCCACATTAGGAGAGAAGCGCACGAAGTGGTTCTCCAAGATGATTTGGAGATGCGTACAGCTGGATTGGGTTATCACTTTGGAGAATGTTATATAAAAGTGCTGTTAAAATTTGGGAATGATACCTCAAGTGTGATATATAGGTAACCTTGTAAGGTTAGATCTTCTTTGATCTGGATGGTGTGATTATTTAGGAAGTAGAATTCTCCCAGGGTGGAGAAGTCTATCCGGAAGACAGCACACCCTTCCCAGGGTGGATGATTTTTAAGGATTCCGATGGCTATGATTCCTGTTAGTTTGGCAAATAACACTGTGGTAGCGGGAAGGTGGGACGTCCCATTGGAACACGGCCACCTTGGCAAGGACTTCCATGAATGTTGGGCCACCATCAAAACAGAAGCAGTAGGTGAAGTGAGGAAGTTGGAGATTGTTTTTTGGGCAGAGCTCAAAACCAGGCTGTGGGATCCTAGTCAGTTGTTGTCCATCTTACCTTTAAGACGGATAAACACATGGTAATTGAGGGTTTTGACAGAGCTGGTCTAGCTATGGACAACATGGAAGGCAGGTTCAGGAGAGTCATGAGTTCAGTCAGAAGTTCAGACCTCAGCAACCCTATCTGCCAAGACTTCAAGGCCTTTTGGGGGAGAGGCTTCATCTGGGTCTGGTGTCTAGAATTCATCCAGGGCAGTGAGGTGCTCACTTGCTGTCTCGCTCTTTGTCTTAGGTCTCAGTTCTGTCCACCATTTTTGGTTCTGTCCTTTTCAGTCCAAAGAGCATTCTCCTTGGTGGAGGAAAGAGGTGCATACAAAAGTGTCGAGCTGTCATCACAGTCCCATTGACCGTCTTGAGACCCGCTCTTCTGCCTCCTTTGATTCTCCTCTTTCTCCCGGTAGAGCCCCAAAGGCCCCTTTCATTGTCCTCAGCTTTCCTCACCAGGCTCAGCTCAACTAGTCTAACTACTCTCTGCCTGGTCTCCCAGCACCAGGCCCATCCTCTTTTTCCTTGCTCTAGCTACCACAATCCCAGCTGGTCAGTGACATCAGTGTGTGTATTAATCTCTTTAAATGGCAGCTCCTTTTCTTTCTTGTCAGAACTGATTCCCCATCTCCCCTGAGCTAGCTGCCCCCCGCAGTTTTAGGCCCCAGTTTCCCATCTAACCTTTCTTTGAACCCAGTGAAACCTGTTTTCCCAAACTCTAAAGTGCAGGTATGTGCAGAGTGACTGTAGAGATAAGAACACTGGCCTTATCTTAACTGGACTTAGCACTGGAGTCCAGACACACAAATACCACCTCTTTACCTACTAACTGTATGCAGGACACATAATCCCTCTAAATCTAGATTTCTTCTTCCTTAACATAGGGATATAGATAACTCTAGTGCCTGCTTCACTGAGCGGTTTACAAGATCAAGTGAGATTCCCTGTGTAAAGTATTCACACCCTGGAAAGGGCTAGGAGGGAGTCTGCTGTTACTACTTTAGATGATAAATTCTCAGTTGCAATGATCCTGCCTCCCTCCCCCCATGCCTACCCTGCAAACAAACAAACAAATAAACAAATAAATAAATAAATGAAAGGAGAAAAACCGTATGCAGGACATACTTTTAAATTTAATCTGCTTTATTAACATTTTCTCTACTATTATACTGTCTTGACAATCAACAAAATAATAAATTAAGGCTTGATTTATAGCATTTGCTCATATCCCAGGGGTAAATGCTCACGTTAAAAATGTAACCACCCGCTCTTATGATGCAAT